GGATAATGGAAAATGGTAGCTACTACATTACAATAGGGTATATATTGGGGTTCTATATTCTTATTCTTACCTCTTCATGATGGACCTGTAATTCTGGTAATGCTAGGTTTTAGCTTGCCACTGATTTCTGCGTTCCTTACTACTTGCGACATGCTGGTAGGGCATGGAAAAGTGCAGTGCTGCCCAAATCCCCAGAATCCACAATGTTACCACAATTTCCGTTTCATTTTCTATTCTATTGGGGTAAGATCCCTGCATATCACCAAGCCCTAAACCCTAAACCCTAAACCCCTAAACCCCTAAACCCCTAAACCCCTAAACCCCTAAGCCCCTAAGCCCCTAAACCCCCAGACCCCTAAACCCCTGAACCCCTAAACCCCTAAACCCTATACCTTAAGTCAATCCTGGTTGCTGCTGGAGGCTGCAGGCCGGCTTCCGCTTCAAGTGGAAAGTGGAATCCATCTCCGATGCCTGCCCTCATAGTACTACAGTATATTGGGGTAATATTGGAATAATGGAAAAGAAAATGGAAACTACTATAGTATATTGGTAGTGTGCGGGACAGGTGAGAGTTTGTGTTCAGCTTTGTTTTGAACGGATTTCTTGCCATTCATAGGCAGAGGCATCACAAAGGGTGTTTTGAATGGAGGGGTTGATTGTAAAAGAGGCTGCTCAATGTAAGCTTCCGAGAAGGTTCGTGGTGACTAAGTCTACCTCGTGAAGCTTCAAGGTGATTTCAGGTAATCAAAGACAGCTAGGAGAGGCCACTGTCCCTGTACTAGGGTCTTCAAGAAGAAGCCTGTCATTTCTTGAAACTCATTATACTATAGTAGTTTCCATTATCTTTTCCATTATCCCAATGTAANNAACCCCAATATAACTACCCTATAATTTTAAGCCAGCCAAGGAGCATATAGATGTCTTGTGCCTCGTGCTGATTGCAAGCCTGGCCGCATTCCTGACAGAGGTGCTCGAGTACGATACGCCTCTCTGCTCGCATGGTTCATATGGGTGGTTGTCAA